AAAAAAAAAAAAAAAAAATGTGACAGGAATGGTGTCCGATCGATTTTTGACGTGAGCGATCGCACGACGCACGAAAGGAAACTCTCGGCGAGGAAAAAAATAAGCAAGACGACCGGGCGTTCACGATCGCACGGCCTCAGAAAACCAGCCAGGATAGCCTATTATTTATTGATTAATCTCGTCCGTGGACGTATAGCGGGACAATTTTACGGGTTAGAAGCGTTAATCGTACCAAATAAAAATGGTTAATCGTACCAAGTAATTTAAATAAATTTATTGAGAAACACGGAGATAGGCGTGTGGATTAAAGAAGATGAAAGGAAGAGAGAAGCAGAGGAGAAAGAGAGGTTTAGAGATTTCGAGGAACCTACTTCGAGTTACAACGGCAACGAGAGACACAAAAAAAAAAAAAAAAAAAAACATCCGCATCCTGTATAGATCGCGCGACTAATTAGCGACGAGTGAGTAAAATCGCGATTCCGCAACCATCGATCATATCCGAGATTGTATCAACATTGTTTGGCTCTTTTCTTTTTATTGAAAATACAAAACGCGCGAAATTTGCAATTTTTCCTCGACGCAAACTCAGTCGCGCGCGATCGATCGATGAATCGCGCGATTTTACCTTCACACGTCGTTCTGTAGAATCGACGAAAATCTAAGCTTCGAATAATATTAAGAAGAAGACAAAAAAGAAGAAGAAGAAGAAGAAGAAGAGAGACCTCGCAAGACTCCACCACGGAATCTTCTACAATTTTGTACACCGCGCCCCGAATCGTCCGGAGACATTTCCCTCTCTGGAAGCGACGCCGGTAAATAAAACCAGAGTTATCGATCGGTCCTTTTCAATTAACAACGCCAATAAAAGCAGCAACGTTCTTTTCGATTCATTAGCGAGACGAGCGCGCGCTTCCGCGCGCTAAGAAATTCATCCTTGGTGGAAAACGCGCGCGGGAGATCCGCAACCCTCGGGGATCCCCAGAAATTGGAACCTGTATCGGATTCTGTCCGGATCTCCGGAAGAAAATACACAACAGGATTTTCAATCCTGCGCTTTTGCGAATCCTCTCTCTCTCGTACATCCTTCAGACGTCCGATCGGAGGATCCTCGGAGGGTTCGGTCGGTTTAATTGTCAGTTAGCGTCGCCGCCGTATCGATTCCGCAAATTCCTCGCGAAATCGAATCGATGCCGACAGATAGACGGCGCAAACACGTCAACGTCGTCGCGGCGAGAGAAACGTATCTCGGGGGCGAACAGGGCGTTTACTCCTTCTCCTTTTCCTCCCCCTTCCCTCTTCTCATCTCCGTCTGAAGCCCGACGTTTAGAAGCACCAGCGTCGTTCCCTCCGAGATATCGCGTTCTCGACCTTCTTCCGTCGCCGTAAAGAGGTTAACGGCCGTCGCGTAAGTCGCTCGGGGACGGCTCCGAACAGGCCATTACACCGCCTACGTATCATATCGTACCCACTGTTTTACTTACTTGAAAATACTGCCACGCATCGTTACGCGAGTTCTCGCGAGCTCTCGCGAGAAGCGAAAAGTGTTTTTTGTATTACAATTATTGTTATCGAGAAAAAACCAAACAAAAAAAAACCAGCGAACGAAAGAAAGGGAAAGGAGCGCGAGAACATCACCCTCTACCTCGTAAGTAAGCGATTCCTGAGGACAAAACGAGAAGAAATATAGGTGCGGGATAGAAGATGAAACTCTAGAAGCGCGAGGAAGTAAAGAANNAAAAAAAAAAAAAAAAAAAAAAAAAAAAAGCGTCTTCAAATGATGAATGCGCACGAGAGAGAGGAAGAAAATTCGTTTGAGGTTTTTCTTCTCGGGTCTTGTGTCTTGAATCTATAGCGATTGAAAGTATCGCGTCTCTTTCCGAAGGATAAGTTTTTAAAAGATGATATTTATAGGAAAAATAAAAAAAACTCATTCCGCGCGGAAGAAAAAAAACTTCGACGTGTTTCAATTGTCAATAAGAGAAAGAGAGAGACGATTTCCTCGAGGAAAATAAACAGCGAAAATCGAACATTTTTTCTCTCGTAATCGCGAAGAGAATGATAATAATTGCCGCGGAGAATGAGTCTTCTCCTATTCATTTCTCTCGATCCGCCTGTCTTTTTTTTTTTTACGGGCGCGGAAAAGACGTTCCGTGTCTACTTTCGGCGCACGCCATCGTTCTTAATCGTAATAACACATATATATACATATATATACACACACACACATACACAATCCTTTTTCCTCCGCGTTCTGCTCATCGCGTTATTAACACAACCAAGCCTTGTCCGTCGAACTTACATCGTTAGAACCTTAGCGTGCGAGCGATAATCCAGGAAAAGCGCGACTCACTTTTTGGAGAGGAAAAAACGCGCGCGCGACTTGAGCGGAAACCGGCTTTAGAAAATATTAAATGAAAAGAAAAAATCAGGATAGAAAGACAATTTTAGGGAAAGAAGAAATCCTTTCGCTGCCCCTCTTCTCCGAACTGCAAAACGAGGTAAGTGACAGCGTTTTCAAATTTGTTTTTTTAAAAACGGCGTTTAAATTTAAAAAAATTCAGTCGACGCTGACATATTTCTCGGACACGCGCGTATCTTCCCGGTCGGATTTGCGACGCGAGAGAGAGAGAAAGAGAGAGCGGCGGGACCTTATTCGTTCGATTAATCGAACATTTTCCATAGCAGACAATTCTGCGCGCACAAGCTTGTCTATAAAAAGGAATTGAATATTAAATGAATACTGAATATTAAAGAACACAGACAGAGTTTCTCAGAGCAAAGCTGTCCTAGCTACGGAAAAATCGATTTTACATTCACTCGCGAGAGAGAATAAAGTTCCGCCGCGGAACCACACGCAGCGAAGGGATTTACAAAAACAAAAAAAAACAAAAAAACACGAATACTCGTCACCGAACATGTCGAAGCTCGAAGGGGGGAAGTGAAGCCTCGAAATTTCATGTCCTCGTCGAGGACGAGTTTTGAAAGATGCGAGAGAAGCGCAAGATAGTTCACTGATAAAACGCCGAAACCTAAAAAAAAAAAAAAAAGAAAAAAAAAGAGTTCGACTGGTCGGATCGTCGTCAAGTTTTGCGGTCCGGTAACTTGTTTGTCGCGTATATTTAAAAACAAAAAAAAAAGAGAGTTTGTAATTAGCGGGCGCGCGATAATCGAAAAGCAGCCACAATCTTCTCCACGAAAAAAAACACTTGATTTAACAAATAAAGTCGATGTTATACGTGTTGATATCAGTCTATACATATATATAAAACAAAAAAAAACTAAATAAAAGATATATATAATAAACAGAGATATATATTAATGAGGAAAGAAAGTATATATCGCGGAGAGATCGAAGAGGAAAGAGACGAAGGGGGCGAAAGAGAAGAGATAAGGAGACGAGAGAGAAGTCGTAGAGAAACGAGGAAGAGAGAGAGAAAAAAAAACAAAAATACTATCATATGATAACTGAAACTTGTTGTTGGGATGAATTGATATTACGAATTATTATTATTATTATTATTACAATTATTATCTATATAAAATATACATAAACTCTAATTAACACTGTTTGCTCGTTAGATGAACCAAAAAAAGAATAAAAAAATAAATAAATAAATAAATAATATAGCGAAACTCTATTTCTCCGTGTAGATGTGTCTTAATGTTCAGCTTGTTCGGCAGCCACCGAAAGGTAAAAAAAAAAAAAAAGAAAGAGAGAGAGAGAGAAAACATTGTTCAAAAGCTGCCACAAAGTCGAAGAGAGAAGGGAGGGAAATGTTCGAGTCGGCATGCGAGAGACGAGAGAGATCAAACGGAAACTGCCACGCGAAACTTAAACTTTCACGCTCGTAGCTGAAACGTACGGGAAAAAGATGCACGCGCGCGCGCGCGCCGCCGGTGTTGTTACCTCGTAGCGGAGGAATCGTAAATTGTTGATCGACTGTCGTTCCCGACGAAGTCTTGGACGAGTATTCATAATAAAAGAACGGTGCTAGGTCGCTATCGAAGAAACGTCCCCCGTGAATATCGCGTTTATACATTTTGCAAACACACCGGACATCTTAACAGTCAGTCAGTCGGTCAATCGTCTGTCATTCGTCGCGGGATGGGAGTCGATTTTGGGGGTTCCACAAGAGAACAAAAAAGTACCAAAAAAATTTTAAACCAAATTAAAATCAAAAAATCGAAAAATTAGGAAAAAGTGTATTTATAATTCGCGTTTTTTTGTGAGAGATTTAAAGCTAAAAAAAACGAACAGCTACGTCTAGCTACACAAGTAATTAATTAATTAGGATTGCGCGAATGTAGGACTAGAGCCGCGATCCTCCGTACAGAAGTGACGTTTGTGGAACGTTTGCTGGATCTGGATATCTGAAGATCCTTCGCGATCGATCCGAAAGAATGACTGTGGCAAGATACGAGAGCGCAGAAANACNAANAAANANNAAAAAAAAAAAAAAAAAAAAAAAAACTATTTTGGGTCTACGGGTGTTCAGGTTTCGGCGGCCCTCTTGAATTGAGATCAAAATTCCTAAAAATAAAAAATTAATATAGATCCCCCGTGCATTCGAAACCTTTTAGGAACCGTTTCGGTTTGACGCTGTTGAGAAAAAAAAAACTGTCGCACGAGCAAGCGACGTTAATTGCGGCTCTTACGGTCATCGATCACAGTCTTTGCTATCATTTTTAACGATCACCGCGTAAATTCTCCTACCGCACTATCTCGCGAGTCACACTGGCGAAAATGATCGCCAACACCGACGTTTTGCATCACGCAAGTTTCCCAGTACACAAACGCATTTGCAGAAGACACACATACACACGTACGTAAAATACACAGAGATGAGCGCATTTACCTACAAGTTTCTCACGAAAGGCGGACGTTCCCTTCTGTCCCTCGTGGTCGCGCGATCATTTCGAGAGTCACACACGTTTTCAAACACACTGTTTTTCACACTCGTAATCCGGCTAAATAGCTTAAGAAATAAACTTTTCAAAGAGGAGTTCCGAAGTTCTGAGGTTGTTTTTGTAGGAAGAGCTTCCGAGAGGAACCGATGACTCACATAGGGAAAAAAAAAAACCAAAAACAAATACGCTACTGATTGCATTTACGCGCGTAGTTTTTTAGGACGCGTACACACACACACATATACACACAGACGAGGTGTCGAGGTGGCCTCGTGTGCAAGAGAGGAGCGGCGCGCTTTCTTAGAGCAGGCTCGACAAGAAAAAAAAAAAAAAACAAGACGAGACGACGTGTTACACACAAACGCGCCGCCGTTGCGTTTAGCGTTCGTTTTTAGCTTAAGTAACAGTGGTTTTTAAGCTTTTTAAATAAAAAAAAACAAAAAAACAAGGAAGGAGAAGTTACAACCGCGGGGAGCGCGATTTTCCCGCCGGCGGCAGGTGATATACCCAGGAAGTAAGTGCAACCAGTAACTTTAAAGTACGCCACATACCATTACGGTAAATCATTTAAATAATGTAAGAATAAATAGAATACGCAAAGTGACACAAAAAAAAAAAATAAAAAATAACACACATATACACGTAAGGGAGACGAGAAGAAGACGAAGAAGAAAAGACGTCGTTCGTTTAGGGAAAAAAAAAAATTCCGAATGTGCGAAGAGCGTGTAATAACGTGTAAGCGATATTTCGTATTTTAAGCGCCGGATAGGCGGAGTTTCACAGAAAATTAACTGACGAACTATTAAGGATATTATTATTTATTAGCTATATTATAAAAGTATATAATATATATACAAAAAAAATTATATGTATATTATATATATATATATATATACATAAATGAATATATATATTATACCTAATAATGTAGTAGGAGAAATCAAACTTTATGTACCACAGAGCTATTTGTATAAAAGCCATTTGTTTCATCACACACACACACACACACACATATACACGAATGAGAAATCTCATCTCAATTGGAGACACACATTTGATTGCCACTCACACACACGCGTGGCCGCGCGTGATTACCGATAATCGTGTTAGGTAACATATATTTTGGAATAAATTATAATCACACGAGAGAAACACTTCTAGTTTTTATTAGGATCTTAGGTAATACGTGTATTTGCATTTTAATCGCCCTTGTATTTTCGTCGGAATTTAGTTGTTAAGTTAACCGAGTCATCACCATCCTCTCCGCATGCACGGCGGAAGGATCGGGGGGGACACGGCGTATTTTTTTCTTTCCCTTCTTTTTTTTAGCGAAAACGATTTTCATACGAGAGGCCCTCGCGAGGCTCGTTCGCGAGGCCAATCGAATTTTCAGCCAGAGACAAACAAAACGAAAAAAAAATTAAAAAAATAAAAAAAAAAAAACCAACGGAACGGATGTATGTACCTTCGAGTTTGTGCGGACAAATCGACGGCGCGCGTCAACCCTTTGCAAAACCCTAAACGTAAACAAATAAATATGATCGTAAAATCGAACGCAATTCACCGACAAAAATCGAGAAAAATCACAATTCCAGAGAAGGAATGCGGTTCGAATTGTTTCAAACAAATACCTTTGCTCGTCGGCGCGCTTGTGAGTTCTCTTTTTTTTTTTTTTTTTTGTTTTTGTTTATGACAATTCTTCAAGTATGACTTCCGGTGTTTTTTCTAAACGATAAAAAAAACAGTACGTTTTAAGTTAAGGGTTGATCGAGTCGCGCTTTGAAAGCTCCGACTCCGGCCGTCGTTCGTCCGGCGAACGTTCACTTCACTTGTATCTCGCGCTTCACTACACTGTGTAGATCCGATCGCTTTTGCTGTATGATTTTACAAAGAATAAAGAACACTTAAAATACAAGACACACGACAGCAGGAGACATTTATTGAAAACATCCCGGGTGACGTTCCTTTCCCACTCCCCCCTTCCCTTTTCTTCCGGCAAGATAAAAGGTAAATATTGTATGACAGGATGTGTGCCGGCATTCAAGGACGGTCGTGCATTCTCTCTCTTTTATGTCCCGTAGTTGTAGCAGCGCAGTTTTATGAAACGTAAAGATGCTTTCTGCGGAACTAGAACGTGGAAACTGTCGCCGATTGAAACACGTTTTTAACGGGAAGGAAGTTCTCGTTTCACAGTCTTTTTGCATGAACAAACAAAGTAAAATTCGCGTAAGGTAAATGTCCCAATACTTAAACGTTTAAGAGAGCTGTTTAACTTATACAAATCATACTCGTATAATTTAACTTTTGTTGGTGAGTATTAGTATTTATTTAAAAAACCAGACTATATTTTCACTAAATAAAGCTTTAAAGAGCTGGTTTATAAAGAAAAACAAAGTAAATTAATCGAATTCTAACATACCTGCTATGGCCCAGTGCTTAAACAGGTTTTCTAACTTGTCCCAATACTTAAACTATCTTGTCCCAGTACTTAAACGCTATTATTAACACGACAATATAGAACAGGAAAAAAATTATTCATGCATTTTATTCCATGAAAAGTTATAGATTTATTACAAATCACTAAAAAATTTGAAGATTATACAAAACTAGATTTTACTTAGAGTTTCATAACCTTTTGATAAGGTTATGAAAACAAGTCATCTACTTTATCATATAATATTTAAATATTTTAGTTAAAATATTATTTTAGTACGTTTAGATAAAATGAAACCATGAAAACACAAAACTACTAACTGATTTGTTGTAAATTATATTTTGTCGCACAAATATCACTCAATACGTGTATGCAAGACTAACTACTGTACTAGTAAGTCTAAGGTAAGTTATTTTATTTGTAAGATATTTATTTTGTAGGACGAGCAGGTTTCCAAGGACGCGTAGAAAATCAGGCAAGTACACAGATTCAATTATAGTTTTTAAACAGTATATTTAAGAATAGAACACTGAATTTAATAATTGCCCCCATACAACTCCCTCTGATCTGATTGATCAACCACGATACCGCACCAACTATAATTCACGATTACAATCTTTCCTTATTAGCGAGCAGTACAATTCAAGAGTAAATCGACCGATTTCCAAAATTGCCAGAAAGCGACTCATTCGTTTCGGCTCTGTAGCGAGCGGCGCTGGCCCTCGATTTACCTTCGCATCGATGATCATATGATCGCATATGATCGCACATGATCGCGTACGAAGGACCAGCCCTCGACTCGATTCGTACAATTTAGATATAATATACGATATTTTGCATGTCTTATAAAATTCTTACACTACGCTATGATGAATCAAGTGTTTAACAACTCCGCCGCCGGCAGATTCTCGTACCAGTACATAAACACGATAATTTAATTATTATAACTAAAAATTAAAGATAGAACAAAGTTTTTTATCAATCTATAGTCTATACTGAGTTTGAAAAATCTTTGCTGAACACAAAGTTTATTTTGTGTATTTAATTATAACCTTAAGAAGAATATACTTTGTCTTACGCAAACCGCTAACGTAAGAGTTGGAAACGCAATAAATTTGCTACTACTCTCAAAAACTATTTTTTTCTTTATCACATCTACTGTTTAGAAAACTTTTATTACAATGTTTTAATAATAATACAATTAAAAATATTAATAAAACTTTTGTTTATTGTAAATATCAGTAAAATAGTTTAATATAAATGAAAATTCGAGTGAGTGTTTAAGTACTGGGACACGTTTAATCACTGGGACATTTACCTTAAAGATGCTTTCTGCGGAACTGAAACGTGGAAACTGTCGCCGATTGAAACACGTTTTTAACGGGAAGGAAGTTCTCGTTTCACAGTCTTTTTGCATGAACAAACAAAGTAAAATTCGCGTACATGTGTGTGCGTGTGTTGAGGAGCGAATCGAATAATCTCAGCTCCTCGATGAGTGAACACGTGTTCCGTCCCGAATGAAACGGGAGAGAAATAAAAAAATCGGATTTGACAACTTACATAATTAAAAAAGACAGAAGAATATAATCTGAGAATTGTTACTCAGATTATATCTCCTTCTTATCTCTGCTGTACCGAGTGGCGACGTCCGTCGATGGCGGCTTCTAGCAAAGGAAACGGCTGTTGCGTGCACGTGGTCCACACCGTAATGGCGGCGAAGAACGACGAGCGAGGAACAACGCTTTCCAAAATTGAGATTGTTTACTTCTTACCGTAGCTGGATGGCCACGTTTGAGCAAGGCGAGGGCGAGACAATTTTCGCGGATGCCGATAGAAATCGTTTGAAATCGAATTTGTTTAATAAACTTGAATCTACGTTGAGAAGTTAGAAGAAGTAGTAGTGTACTCGGCCGTTATCCTAAGAAGAGTGAGAAAAATGGAACTTTGCGCCTTCGGTTTGTTCAGAAACTTACGAAAAAAAAAAGATAATTCTTGTTTACGTTTGTGGTTCAGATTTTCGGTTAGTCCATACGCCAGTCTAAGGCTGCGTTCTGAGTTACGCGTATGCGCGCATTTATCTATACTGTACATAACGTGTACTATAGATAAATGCGCGTATATGCGTAACTCCGAACGCAGTCTATTAGTCGTTACGTATTCTCAGCGTAAAGAGGAGGTGTGTAGTAGACTACTATCACCAATACGATCGTCTTTTCACAGTAGGCGTGGCCCATCTGTGTCGGGCTTGCGCTCAGATGTTATGACTAAGATCGCCTTGTGGCTTTTGCTCCTCCACGTGCACAGGGGCGTACGCTATATATGCAAAGAAGAAGAAAAAAGAAGATCGCCTTGTGAGAGAAGGAGATTTTTTCGAAATTACACTCGAATTAATTTTTTGAGGTCCGATTCAATTCGCCAATCTAACGATCAACTCGAAATGAAAGAGGCCCGGAAAAATTCGAAAATGTGAATTCGAACTCGAGACCTTCCTGCTCACAGACCATTGGGTAAAGCAGAAACAAAACTAGATAGAACAAAACTAGATAGGCAAACTATATACAGAAAATAAGTTGGTAGAACGTAAAATTTTAGAATTTTATTTTTGTTTAATGGATTGGTACCTTTTTGCGACATCACATCCGTGTCATCCATTCGCAAAACGACCCGCGCTAGTGACTTGCAAGAGCATCGCATCCTTTTTCCGTTCGAATATTGGAATGTTTATTTTTTTGAAAACGCAGAGTTTAAACAAAATTTCCGAACAGTATGTGACAAATATTTAAACGTCAGATCATCCGCTGAGATCTCTTTTGAAATTTTTATATTTCACATATATGTAGAAAATAAATCGTCGTGTTCTAACAGATTCGGGATTGCGCAATAAATACAACGCAGTGATATCGTTTAGCATTTAGTTTATTTAAACCTCGTGTTACAGAGATAAGGCTAGCAGCAAGGCTTCGATCGTGCGCGTGCATTTTGAGTTTTCGCGTGTATGTGTGTGTATGTATGTGTCATGTACGTGTATACTTGCGTAATATTTAAAATTGCGATACGTGTGACAGAGAAAAGTGCGTATTATGCGTACGATACACGTTGGACTTGGCATTTTCGGAAGGCCGCGAGACAAAAATAGCTCTACCACAATATTTCTAACTTGTTTTGTTTTTTTCTTGTCGCCTTTGCGCAACTACGTGCTGTACTAAAAAAAAAAAACAAAAACACTGCGCGCGCATGTCAAATTATTAAAATTTCTACAATATAAAAAAACACGTCGCGATTTATCGGAATTTCTCAATAGATCGAAAATCGTTACACGTTCGTTAAGTGACGCATAAATTCCAGTATTCGTGTCTCTCTCGACTTAATTTCTTTTTTCAAACTCAATGTTTACGGCGCAGAAGACACTTCTCTCGAGTCTGGAAATTCTTTTGGTTTTCGAAACACACAAACGGTAAACAATCGACGTGTATGTGCGAATCCGATTTTTAAAGACTTCAACCGCGTAATTATCCCCTCACGCACTTCCGTTCCTTTCTCTCCCTCTCATCCGCACGCGCATGCACACAGAGACAATTACGCTCTCACCCTTTACTCTCGCGCGCGCGCGTCAATAAAATCCTAACATTCTCTCCTCCGGTTTTTTTTGTAACACACGTAGGTTTCATTTTGATCGATTAGAAACGACATCGAAGACAATATTTACAGGTGACTGTGGTTTGTATACATATATATATATATTTATTTATTTAAGCTCTATACGATTAAAATTATATTAATTTAAACAACGAAGTTAGTACCTTATAGAAATATTGTTATAGCGATATCTCGCGCACGCCGAGCGGAACGATCGGGTCAAAGTTCGTCGCTCGTTTCGTCGTCACGAGATTTGTGCTCGGACTATGTTAATCGGAGAAACGTGATTTATTTCTCTTTAAATTGGAAATCGCGCGCGCGTGTGTGTAGAAAAAAAGCGACACATTTGAGAAAATAATCGCGGGTGTGAAAACGCAATCGAAAAACAATATAGCGATGTATTTTATCGCCCGATCGTTCGGCGCGCGTGCACGCGGACGAAAATTTGGTCGCGAATTAATTAAAGAGAGAACTCCCCTTCTTCCGTATATAAATATTTAAATAATCCGGTTAGATGGTCGTTTTCGGAAGCGACAAACGGGAATCGAGTATTTGCCGTTGTTAACTAGTCTAAAAAAAAAAAAAAAAAAAAAAATTGTCCTTTCGATTTCTTTTTCACGTTATTTTCCGCGTCGCGGAAAAAACGACGAAAAAACTCATCTCCGACGAATCGACGGTTGGGTGTCGATCTCGACACATACACTATGTATTTATATATGTGTTACTTAAATCATTAACATTACAGGCGGTACGTGTCACGTTTTTTTTTGTGTGTACGGCAGCTTGAATTTTTATTACATCATACATGAGCGCCACAAGATCGCGTCGTTGTTTTTTTTTTTTTTTTTTTTTTTTTTAGAGAAGAGCGGGACACGCGATCGTGTCTTATCCGATATTCTTCGCGCGATACAACTTCGCGATACACATCTAAAACTGCGTATATATATATATGTGATTTTTTATTCAAGAACAACAAAGAGACATCCAAGTGTGTAAGTTGTCATGTGAGAGAGTTTTCCCCGGGTCGTTGCCCGCCGCATTCGTCTCGTACGAGTATCTATTATGTAAATCGTCCGAGGAAACGATGCGAGATAATCAAGTGTAACAAGAAGATCCCACGAGGATCTAAGAATTTGACTTGTGCTGTTTTTGTGTGAATGTGAATGTGTGCGAATGTGTGTGTGTGTGTGTGTATGTGTGTACGCGATCCTTTTACAAGGTGCGCTTATTGGTGCAGCGAGAGAATCACGCGCGATCATCCCGGGGGCGATGATTATCGTCTCCATCTCCGTCGTCGGTAGCCATCATCGTGGTGATCATCATCAGTGCATGGCCCAGCCGATGGTGTAGTTGCGGGAAGCTCTTCCCATGCGGCCCAGGCGATCTGCCGAAAGAAACACGCTCGAGGGAGCCATTACGATGGGGGGAGAGATGGGTGGCTTGATGATTCGACGTGAAGACTCCCAAGGATCGACTTGGGACACTTCGGGAGGCGCCTCGACGAGTCCACGAATCCTCGGATTCTCTCACTCGGATCAGTATGATTTTTCGATGTTATAGACGAAAAAATTCGCAGAACCGCGTTAACCCTCCACGACCGCGGATTTTCGGGACACATTGTCGCTTCAGCCATTAGCGCGCGTTTTATTATTTGTAGAAAAAAAAATTATTCTTTAACGCAGAACCACGAATAAAAAAATAGACTCTTGGGTCCTCTGTCGGAGGGTTGACGAAGATCTGAAATCCTCGGAAATGTGGATCGTCGAGAAGCGATCGGACGAACGAGTAGGTACTGTGCGGTGAGATTGTTCTCTTTGTTGAGATTATTCTTCCTCTCGTGTCAATTATCTCACATTTTCGCAAATAACATCTACAAATTGTTTCACCACAAAAACGTGGGATTTTTTTGACAAATTTTGACAGATATGACCGACGCAATAATTACAGACGCGAGCGCGTGGTCCGCGGAAACGCGAAATCTTTCCAGTCGTAAAACTTTTATGTGGCAAAACGCCGTCGCAGGATCGCCCGGTTAAAACTCTCGGAAAATAATCATAAAAAGTTACGGGGAGGTAGGTAATTTGCATCCCCTCTCCTCCCCGTGGACCCATCGGACGCGAGTAATTCTGCGGCGCCGCTACTTTTCCTCCCGAATTTTTTCTTATTTTCGTTGCGCGTCCCTCTCTCGCGCGCCAGTCGTAAAGCAAAAGTAATTAACGCGCGTACTACGTCAAACCATTGCAGTGGCGATAAAACACTTTACGTGCCAGACGCCTCTGTATATATATATATATATATATACATATATACATACACACATCCTCGCGTGTACATGCAGCTAACCGCATTAATTTGTGTGAAAATATATAGCGCGCTACACGTCGTCGCGATGTGCGCGATCAGTAATCTCGTAGCTGTTGGCCGTAAAGGCAACGAATTTCGTGCCGTGGAGTTAATTTGAGCCGCGTCAGAAAACGGAACTTGTAACATATTCCAAATTACACGACTTTACGTGTACACATTACCGTGCTTTTTATTTTTATATAATTTTTTTTTGTTTTAACGCAGTAATTACAGCGTTGATTAGAGACTATTAGTTTTACACCGGAACTTCTCGCCTGTTCCTTTGCGCGTCGCGAGAAAAATATTAAAAAAATTTCATCTCCCCTCGCGCAATATTTTATTCGGTTTACGTTAATAAAAAAAGAAAAAAAAACATCCACTACGCCACCTCTTTCGATAAATCCCGTCGACAAAGTCGCGTCCCTATCCTCGTACTTTCGATAGAAATGAGATTTATTGGCGCAGCTTGTTCCGCAATTTTTTGCCGATTAGCCGGAACGTCGGCTGCGTCTGCCATACGGAGATAAACGATTCGCGCGTTCGGAGGAAAGTTTGGAAAACTCGAACTCTTCATCGAGAAGAAACGATAAACGATAACACCGCGCGTCGCGTGTGTTTATTCGTCATTTACCTTCGACTCGTTCTCTGTTCGAGTTCATGCGTTCAATTTCGAATCGTCTCCGACGAAACGCGTCGGAGATTGCGCCGATAACACGCGCGCGAGACAAGACGCGTTATCAGAACGCGCATTGATAAGGTCGCGTCGCGAGAATTACGTGACTCTGGCGCGCGCACGCGGCGCGAGATGGTTCGCATCTCTCCGGAGAAAGAGAAGGGGGGGAATAGCCCGGGGAGGTTGGTCGTTAATAATCCGGCATCACACAGGCGCGGTGTGCACGACGACGCGTATTAAGTTACCGAGCTACCGCGTTCTGCATTTAACGGGGAATTAATTATCGTCGCGGCGTGCGCGCGCGCGAGGATGCGGCGAGAAGCGTGTAACCGAGTTGTTGCCGCGCGCGCGATGAAAGCACACGACGAACGGAGAGAAGCCGTGTTGTAATTCGTTATTACCGTAGCGTCTCTCGCGCTACCGGAAGACCCAACAGGCTGTAACACGTCGGCGTGATTAGTTTAGCTGTCGGATCTCGCGATCTCTCGTCGTTCGGGAGTTTACGGGCGCGGGTCCGATTACATCGTCGCGGTTCATTTTTCGGCCGCTGCGTCCGAATTTTTCGGTACTCCCCGTTTCTCGAAACGCGCGTAATTAAAAGCGGATACGGTAAATACGGTTAATTACGCCGTTAATCAACCGCGCGATTGAAATGGTACGAACGCGGTGGCCGGAGGCGCGAGTATTTTCAATCCCGTCCGAAGTTTGCAGACGTGCAAATGAAAAAAATTCGCGCGTCTCTCTCTCTCTCTCCCGATATTCCGAAATCGCGATGTTCAAAAACCAGGTTGCAAAAATACGCTTTTCTCTGGTTTAAAAAGCGGAAGTGAAACTTTCTTCTCTCGCGCGAGTTGTTTATGATCGCGCGATAATTGCGATAAATAAATCGTCTCGGGGCGATCAAACGAAAATACCATTAGCGATTGAAAGTAGCGAGAGAGAGAGAGAGAGAAAAAAAACAGACGACTCGGCAATTCCGCCCGCAATGACAGCTTCTCCATGAAGCGCGTAAAAAAAAAAGAAAAAAAAAAGAAAAAAGCAAGAGAGAGAGAGAGATAGAGAGAAAACTCACGGAGCTTCGCCGAGACGGAGGTTCGCCATCGAGGCTTTTCACGCTCGACTGACGCGCGTCCCTAGATTTCATCTTCCCTCCTCGCGAAAATCCCAAAGTACTTCCATCATACTTTCTTACTTCTTGTTTCTCCTCTCTTTTTCCTCTTCCGCTCTTTCCCGTTCTCATCTCGATCGCAAAACATCGCTACAATCTTTTTAACAATGTCGACGTATACCGTGTTTCCTTTTTCCATCCGCTCGCCCTTCTCCCTCGCCACCCCGACCCCCTTCGACATTTCCTCCTCCTCTTTCGTCGGTGGTCTGTTTATCTGTTCCAGGATAATTCAGATCCTCCCGGTATAGAACGAGCCACTTCGTCAGAATTTAATGCTCCGTAAAACGAGGCTTCTCCCTCTCTCTCTCTCTCTCTCTCTCTTTCTCTCTTCTCGTTTCGTTTCCGCACTTCCGAAGCGACTGAATCCGTTTTATCATTACCACTGCAGTTGCGCGCGCGCGCGCGCACACACGATTTTGGAAACCTCTTTCTCTCGTTTCCGAAGAAATCCGCTCTCGCGGAATGTGGGCGAGATAAGTAAAGCCGTCGAAAGCCGACAAAACCCGCTTGATAGAAACTTCATTCCCGTCCTCGTGATGGGAAGTTGCACCGAATTCGATGCGTCACCGCGCGATTTCGTCGATAATTCTCGATTATCTTTATTTACGGCGAAAATGTTCTCACCTCTCTCGGACGAGAAACGAACGAAAAGAGATCGCGCGATGAAAATTGTTGGGCGTAACTCTGCGTAATTAAATTAAAAAAAAAATAAATAAACTTGCACATCACCTAAAAATATCCGAGTGTGTGTTAAAGGACACGTTCCGTTGAATTATTTTTGTTCGGATATCCGCGACGAGATAAATTGAAACTCGCGCCGATTCGCGACGAACAAAGACGGAAAAAAACGTTCCGTTTTGCGACGCTCACACGCGCCGGTATACGCGAATTCCGTGCGATCGAACGAGTTCGTACAAAACAAAAAATCTCGCAATTCGCACGAACAACGCGGATCGCGCGCGCTACTTTGTTTCCGAAAATTGGCAGACAGATACTGAAATAATAAAAAAAAAAAAAAAACAACAACAAAGGACGCGCAGAAAGAAAGAAAGAAAGAACGAATGAGCGCAGACTCCCGTTGATAGAAATTTGAGGCAATCTATTCGGTAATTGAAGCTTCCATTATTTTTCCGCCAGAGTTGCGCGTACAAACTTTTTTTCGTTGATTCTCTTGTTTGCCCCGCGTGCGCGCACGCGCGCGTTTTCCTCCGCTTCGTCATTTTACTATATATTTTTTTTATCTAGGTCAATGTTTTTCAAAGTCCTTTCCCTTCCCGAAAGAAAAATGCGCGACGAAATACTCTCCTCCGTCCCCTCCGTTCCCCCCTCCCACACTTCCGCGCGATTAAAACGAGAGAGATCCTGCGCGTTATCTGCGCGCGCGCAGTCCTAGTAATAATATTATTAAGTTGCGGAAGAGCACATTTCCGCGTTTACGAGCAACGGCGTGTATTTTCACGGCGTGTATCTTTCGATGTTTGTCTCTCACTCTCGCACAGTACCTCGTGTCGTCCGACCTTCGAGGGGAGACAATGCACGTGTGTGTGTATTTTTTTTTTTCTTCTCTTCTCGTTTAATTGCTACAATAAATTAGTCTCGAACGTTAACAAAGAGAGTTTCCATGCTTTCTCTCACGGTGCGTTAGACCCATTAATTAATTGCTAATGACATCGAACCATGTGCGCTAATCGTGCATCGTATAATACCACTACTGTTAACACATATGTTGTAGTTAACACATTATTCGCGCGTGTCATATATACACAATATAATCAATATAAGTTTATTATACAAATTCATCGAATGATTTGTGTGCATGTCAAACTCTAACTTACATATATACACCATCTATTACTGTTTACTCGTGCGGTCGCGTGCCACTGGTGTGTGTCTAAGGGATGCAAAACGTGTGCGTGTGCGTGTGTGTGTGTGTGTGTGAATTAGAGACAGGATCAAATATGAGAGTAAAGAGATACCAGCCAAGAGATATGTTACAAAACGCATTTCTCGATTGAGTGTGTAGCGAAGGAGATAATCGCGCAGTTGCGATTTCGCGCTTGATTTAGCGGAGATTATTTTTGTAGCCTGCGAGCGAGAGAGCGACGTTTTTGAGGAAACGGAAGGTCGACAATTTCTCGATAGAGAGCTGGCGTTTTTGTGATACCGGGTTGAAACAATTCCGCGGGTTTGTAATCCGCGT